CACACACAATTTATACCTCTAAAGTCAATGCATAATCTCATAGTTCCATCTTTTTTTCCTTTGAACAGGACTGGGGCTGTGACCTGTGGCTTGGTTCAATAACCCCCTTGCTAGGTTTTTGTCTATGTATTTATGCATTTCTTGCATTTCCTGGGGTGTTGTGGCATATAATTTGGGTTTGGGTAGTTTTGCCCTGGGGATGATTTTGATGGTACAGTCCATCTTGCAGTGGGGGGAGGGAGAATGTTGCACTCAGACTCAATGAACACTTCCGCAAGATCCTAATACTCTTTGGGGATCTGGGACCTCTGGGGTTTTGTCAGAGATGGCTGCCAATAGTTCGGGGAGTGGGGGCTTTAGAGAGGTTTCCTGCATGGGTGATGCTTCTATTTGCTGATGCGGGGGGGGGGGGTTTGGGTCCACTAGCCTCCAGGTACCCCTTTTCCACCAGATCATTGGGCCCCACTTGTCTAGCCAAGAGAGCCCCAGTATGACTGTGTCTGTCATTTTAGGGGCTATTATGAACCAAATTGCTTCCCAGTGGTCCACTAGCTCGAGTTTCACTGGTTCAGTTAGATGGATGGTGTAGGCTCCCCCCAATAGTGACCTATCAACCTGTTCAAATCTGATCGGGTGGGCCAGTCTCTTCACTCTTTCAGGATCTTGGCTAGGTTAATCAGGCATCAAGTGCAGCCTGAGTTATTAGGGCTTGAAAAGTGTCCTGGTTTCTGTCTTTGGTGTTGTGAGGCATAAAATGAGGACAAAGGTGTGGATCAGTTCACTCACCATCGGATCATCTTTGCCATCATCTTCACTGTCATAGGGATCTGGCGATTGGTCATTGTTGGCTGGAATCTCCCTTTCTTCAACTGGGTTAGGAGGGACCTCAATGGCCTAGACGGCTTTTTGAGTCATGTCAGCAGCATGCCTGGGGCCTCGTTCTGGTCGTGCCCTGGGTGGTGGCTCTGGTTTGATTTTTGGGGCTGGGTTTGTGCATGCCAAGGTGATGTGGCCCATCCCTCCACATCTGTAGTATTTCAACCGGCTTCATGGGAAGGTTGATTTTAGGGCCAGCTGTCCTGCCGCAATCTCTCATCGGCTGGATGGTCTCCAGTCTGGTTGGATTCTCTCCTTGGTGTCCAGTTGCTTCTGCATGTTGTTTGTGCAAAATCCGCAGTCAACTTTTATGGCCACTTGGAACCACTCAGTTTGGAATATTCCAGTAGGAGGTCACCTAGGCAATTTGCTTGTGCAGGCTCGTTCTGAAAAAGTGAACTAATAGTCATTCCAGGAAAGGGGGTAGCTTCCCCATGACTCTTCTGAATTCACGGATGTGTTCCTTAATGGGTTGCCTCCTCTGATTTAGGTTTCAGAGCTCATCCTCTGCGTATGGATCCTCCTCCACTTCATCAAATTTGGCTTCTAGCTCTTGAAGGAAATTGTTGATGTCTTGCAGTTGGGAGGCTCTCCAACTCTCTTATGGAGGGCTGCTAGCCATTCCTTTGCTTCTCCCCCAGCCCCCCAATGATGGTGTCCACCATGGCTCTGTGCAATGGCTAGAGGTGGCCATAGTGCTTTAGGTGGACTCTAGCAGAGTCAAGGAATAGAGCCAGTTGAACTGAGTCCCCATTGAATTTCCCCCCGAATCGTGGCAGTTCGTTCAGCCCTGCTCCTCCCTTGCCATGTTGGGCCCCTTGATCCTGCGCTTGGTGTGTTTGGTGGTCTCTTTCAGCTCTGGTTCGGAGGTAGGGGAGGGGCTTCACCCCTTGGGCGGCTTGCCTGTTACGTGGAGGGGCCACCGGCAGCAACCTTGGGCTCATTCTCCCTCTGGGTAGTGGAGAAAGGGAGCTGCATTCCCGTCTGCTTCTCCTTGCTTCAAAGGGCTCAGCTGTAAACCCCCTCTCTTTTGGGTGGCATGATGGCCCCTCATCCCAAAGGGATCCTGAAATTTGAAATTTTGTTCAAATTTCTCCCTTAGCTGTTCTACGGATCCTCCCAAGGGTTCCATCAGAGTTTTGGGGAGACTGGCACATTCCAAGTCCATTATCCATTCCACTATTCCTAGTTCACTCAGGGGTTTCCCCCAGCCCTGAGCTCTGGGGTGGAGGAGTTCAACCTCAGCCACTTTAGGGACTTTTTTCCACCAATACTCATCTTTTTTTGTTTCAGTCACAGCGATTGGCCTCTTGGCTTTGATGTCCAGGGAGGGTTGCAATTTTGCTCCAGTTGGGCTGCTGGTTCCTGGAGTTCCCTGGGTGGGGACAAGTTCTATCCCGCTCAGGGTTGCCTGGAGCAGGCTCTCTTCAGATAGTCCACCCTCTGCCATGGTAGCCTGAGTTTCTCTCCATGCACCCCAGTTGTCGGGGAGCGGGCGGAAGGTCTGGGACTCAGGAATCCCAATTGTTTTTATTAGTTTCAGGAGAGTTGGCTCTCTGTCAAGAGTTCCGACAGATACCCTAATTAAATCATGAGCCTCAAGCCAAGCTTCAAAAGAAATCCAGTTATTTATTAGGAGCTTCATGCTGGCATGGACCAGGTGGAGCCAACTCTGACATTCGCAATTTGCCTCTGACCCTGTTTCCCCCTCTCCCCAATATGTGTCATCAGTCACATTCCCCAACAAAGCAATTTCGTGTAAAAGTCACTCCCCTCCAGCCACTGTGGGTTTCCGTGGAGATGACCTCAGCATATCGGTTGGAATGTACCTTGTTTTAACTGAGAGGCCAGCTCCTTGATGCAGCTGCGAAGTTCACTTTCCCATCCCCCTTGCCTATGGTAACTCGAGAGCAGGTCAAGGATGCTTTGTGAGTTGACAAGGCATTTGTTAAATGATACTGCAAAGGTCATAACTGTGAAAAATTAAATTACTTTTTTCAGTGCCTTTATAACTTTGAGCAGTCACTAAATGAACTATTGTAAGTCAAGGACTATCTGTAGTCTTCATCTAAATTAGTCTAAGCGAATCTGACCAAATATCAAATGGATAAATATCATTATTTTCTATCCTTATTAAAATTGAAGTAAAATTGAATCAGTTGAAGTAAGTGATAAAACTGAAAATAAATTTGAAGAATATTCAGAGTTCTATAAATAAAATTGGGCTGGAGTCTCAAATATCCACTTCCTCAACAGAGGTTAGATAATAAAATTAGAAAACTATATCCACTAGATGGGAATTAAAACTATATTAATCATAATTATTAATACTCCTCACGTAGTTCATTAAGAAGGAAGGATTTTTAACATCTTCATTGGTTATATCCCAAATATCATTGTGATTGTACAGTAAATGCTTTTTAAAACAGATGTTTGAAAGTATTTTATGTCTGTAATATGAATGAGACTTCTCTTGCATTGCCTCCTCCAACTGTCCTTCAAGAAAGAGATATGGGAGAGAGAAATTAGGTTATTAATTAGGATGCCAAAGCTGCTTACTTAATACACAGCCAGTGTTTGATCATACAAGGTAGCTTGTCTATTATATATGTTAAAACCAAATCATTTTGTGGATTTTTAATTCAAAAAATGCTGCCAAGTTTCAGCGATCCATAGTTTGCTAGAGTACAAAAAAAATTAGAGAAATAATCCTCAGTAGAAAAGGGACAGGGAGAGAATCAAGACAGCCTGATGTGGATTGAACATTACCAGACATAGAATACTAACTGATTATTGTTGGATGGAATGGGAAATAGAATTACATATTCTGAAAGATGACTCCTAAATAAAAGCATTCAACTCTCTACCATGTTGCTGCAGTTTCTGTTTATAAATATTTGCATATGGGTCAATTTGCATTGCTATTTTAAAAGCTTATGCTTCAAAAAAGAAATATTACTGTATACTGGTTTTGACTTAATGAAGTGCATGCATTTAGAAATATATCTTGTTAAGTAAAATAAAATGTATTTCTTAATAAGATCTTTTGTTTGTGGGTTTTACGGAGGAGGAAAAAACTAGCAACATCTTTCCATAGGTAGCATAAGAAAATAATTATGTAATAAAATATCCTACTTCAGACATGTTATGCAAAGACCTAAAAAAAAGGCTCTATAGCTAAGATAGGTGGAAGGAAACAGAAAAAGACAATCAGTAGCAATGCAAATGGAGTCATTTATATCATTAATGGTAGCATCACTGGAAGACCATCAGGTTAAGGATAGATTTTATTTTTATTTGTTTTATTATGAAATGTATATGTCACCCATCTCACCAAGATGTAACTCTAGGTGGCTTACAATAAATGAAAGCAACAGAATAGCACATTAAAATGTTACAATAATAAATATTAGCATAAAAATTAACTAAAATTGACAAAGATGGTGAGGAAGGGAGCAACGTACAGATAGTCATGCAGAAAATCTGTGTATGATTACCAAGAGTCAATACCAAGGTGATGACATATAATTCATGGATTAAATAACATTCTAAGATATTGATAAAATACTCCCAGGTGAAACAGATCTAAAGGAGCAGGGTTATATGAATTATATATTGAATGGTCTAGAAACACTTTAGTGGAACCTGTTCTATCAGCCCTTTCTTCTCAAATGGTAGTCTTTCAGTCTAGACTGGACATGGTGAACCTACACGATAGGCATTAGTGGAGCATTCCAAATATACCTTACATTATAACAGTCGTGGCCTGGCTTCACTGGGAGTTGCATTATACAAATATGTTAAATAAATGAACATTGTTAGTAGAAATGAGTGGCTGTAGATAATCAGGAATCTCCCTTCTCTTGTTACAGAACAATCAAACATTATCACAAGCTAAAAATTGTTTTAAAAAGTTCCTCAAGGCAGCTCTCATATCATTATGCTTAATTTCATTGCAAGTAAAAGTCAGTGGATGATTCCTACGTACTGTAAATAGGTTGACTTTTATGGAACATTAATTGACATAATGCGTTATGATCTGTTGTCAACGTGGGGAGACAGTTGTATTCTAGAATGTGGTTTTTGTTTTGGAAATAAGGAAATCAGCTAGGCCTGGGGATAAATGCTTTTGGAACAGTATTTTTTTTGTAGTTATTATCTTGTGTACCACTTTTAGGTCTTTAGGCACATCAAATAGTTGTGTTGCTTGTGTTCAGTTGAGATGGTAAATTGCCTGGGAGTATTGTTGCTGCACTCCTGTTCCTTTCATGAGGGCTTTTTGGCCTGCTTCTCCAAAGATCATTCCCAAAGTGAAGCCCAGCTGCCTTCTGCCTTCTTTTCTGACTGATGAGATACTAACAGTTTGCAGAGCATTTGTTAGTCAAAAATAAATACAGCTCAAGCTGTAAATGTTTTAATTAATAAGGCACAAAAACAGTACAGCCTTTTCATGATTCATTGCTGTGGGGAATTTAGAGTACAAGATGGCTTGGGAAAGCTTTAAAGATGTACCATACAATAACATTTGACAGATGGGGATTCTCAGAAAATAGGATGTAAAAAGTTGTTATCATAATATCAGGCACATGTTCATGTGTTTCTCTTTCCTTTCTCTTTCCTATCCAAGTGTGATGACTCCCCCGGACACTTGCCCAGGTGCTTCTCCAGATGTCATTTTAGAGGAGGATGAAACAGTTCCAGGTATGTCTGGAAGGGAGTTGGTCAGTGGCTCCAAACAGCCGTCTGAGAGGGATTTGGCTGAAGCACAACTGCAGCAGGGCAGCTGTGACGCTTCAGGTGGTAAAAGCATGCAGTTGCAGCTGGTCAGTGATGAGGAAGAGGAACTGCCTTCTGTACCTGATCCAAGAACACCTGGTGCAAAGAAAAGGCAGGAGTAGAGGTCAGCCAGATAACTCATGAGGAGAAAGCCTCGCCCTTCTTGATGGAAGTTCGAAAGCATGTAAAAAATGCAAGTAGAAAAATAGAGACCACCTTTGGTGGGAAGGTAACAATGTTCCATGCACCTTTGGCATTTAGTCATGCCGGCTACATGACCATGGAAATGTCTTTGGACAGCACTGGCTCTTCAGCTTTGAAATGGAGATGAGCACTGCCTCCTAGAGTTGGGAACGACTAGCACATACGAGTGAGGGGAACCTTTACTTTTACGTTACCAATTCAGGCTTGGAAGCCCTAATAAAGACTCCTTACCCCCATGGTGTGTGTGTGTGCATGAGTGGGACAACACATCAATCTTCCTGCAGTATCCAGCAGATCACTAGTCCTGGTCTGCCATGCAATGTAAAGCTATATGAAAGAAGATTCACCCATTAAAACCACATAAATGTTTTCCAGAATGAGATGCACAGTTCTTTTCAAATTGGTTGATTCTGTTAATCACAATTGCTTAATAGCTCTGGCAGTGTCCAAACAGTGAGCTGTATCTGTTCTGTGACTTTAAAAACAACTTTTCTTTCCCTAAAAAGGCTAATTTATATCATCTCATTTAATTTAAACTGATATTTATCCTGCTTTCCTCATAATTACATAGTTTCTTTATGAAGATCAGTCTGAAGTAGAACACCACACTGTTAAAGTAATAAATATTGTGATAATAATTGCAAACAGCACAAGAGATAAGAAATTGGAAAGCCAGTCAACAGATGACACTTCACTTAAGTAGTGACAGCTTGCTAAAAGAAAAGAGGCTTCATGTCCTGGTGGAACATCAAAAAAATTGAGATATTCTATATTCATAGGGCAGAGAGTTGAATAGAAAAAGCCTTCTTACATGTTGCTGAACTGAAATTTGTCAGTGGAATGCAAGAATATTGAATGACAATTTAAAATATTATTGTGTATTCTTAATCATTTTAAAATATTATGCTCTGGTCTATATCCATTCAAAATAGTTAATATGGTAACATAACATTATATCATAATATCTGATTATTAATAACTACAAAGTACACAGGAGAAAAAACTCTTAAGAATAAAATTATTCCAAGCTGAGAAATAAAACAGACCTAACAGTAGTCCTTTATAATTTATTTTTTATTGCTTTTTAATTAATACTAAAAACAACAAAACACAAAAATAATCATGATAGTGACATGTACATTAACAAAGAGAAAAAATAAGCCATAAAAGTGAAAGAATTATAACAAAGAAAAATTAAAATAGAATATGTCATTATAATAATAAACAATTACAATCTACACAAAAGTTCATGTGCATATATATTTCTGATACTTTTATACAACTCTCCTTTTATAACATTGTTTTCTGTATGAATGAGCCCCATATTTCATTATACTTGTCTATACAAAGTCTACATTTATGGGCAATCTGCTCATAAGTGACAAATGCAACCAGGTCCAACACTGACAAAACAGCAACAATTTAAAGAAGGCCAGCTTGTTTAATTTGCATCCATTTAATGCAAAAATATTTAGGGTCTTGAAGGTAATAATGAGTTTCTTTTACATGTTTAGTGTAGTATGACATGCAAAAATCCTATCATTTTATATTGCAGTAGAAATAAGTTCACAAATAAGGTATATATAATCCACTATTAAAGTACACAAATATGCATGTCTTTCATTGGAAACCAAGCAGTAAAAAGAACCAGGGAATATTTAGTTTATGAGAGTCCCTGAATTAGATGTCTTTAGGCAAGACATATTTTGTTGCCTGGTAGTGCAATATGTTCATTACGTCTAGGGCATATCATATTTTTTAAAAAATGTGTTTCATTCTGAAGAGCCTGGTGCAAAGAACAGCTGAAAAATATTTTAAATAAAAATTTTAATAAATGCTTACTGAAGATAATGAATGTTATAGTCCAACACAGCTGGAGGGCAAGGCTGGAAGGGTATGGTATTATCTTTTTAGGCCAATGTCATTACAATTCTAGGAAATTCTTTTACAATATATTTCAAAAATATATCAAATTAATGTTACTGTTAACTGTATGCATTGCTACAGAGAAATAAACTCCATACATGCTGGGAGCATGGCAGCCTTTATCAGTTTGTATAGAATCTTACTTAGTATTATTTATTTATTTATTTATTTATTTATTTATTTATTTATTTATTTATTTATTTATTTATTTATATGCCGCCATTCTCCCGAAGGACTCAGAGAGGCAAACACAAGTTAAGAAACATGTACAATAAAATCCCATTTTAAACCAAATAACTAATTAATAATAAATGATAAAACCCGGAATCAGAGTCAGCCTATTTGCTTGAACAGCCAAGTCTTCAGGTCCCGACGGAAGGAGCGGAGATCAGGAGCCGTCCGGAGCTCGGTAGGTAATTCATTCCAGAGGGTGGGAGCACCCACAGAGAACACCCTATCCCTGGGCACAGCAAGACGACATTGGCTCGCCGTCGGAACCCTGAGGAGAGCGGCCCTATGTGAGCGAACAGGACAGTGAGAGGCAGGCAGGAGAAGGTCCTGCAAATATCCTGGACCTAAGTCATGTAGGGCCTTATAGGTGAGAACCAGCACCTTGAAGCGGACCCGGAGAACCACTGGTAACCAGTGCAACTCACGCAGGAGGGGTGTTATATGGGAGTAACGAGGGGCTCCCGTAACAACCCATGCGGCTGCATTCTGGATCAGCTGGAGTCTCTGGGTGCATCTCAAGGGCAGGCCCATGTAGAGGGAATTGCAGTAATCCAAGCAGGAAGTAACCAGGGCATGAGTGACTGTGCAAAGCTCATCTCAGTCCAGGAAAGGGCGCAACTGGTGCACCAGGCGAACCTGTGCGAAGGCCCCCCTGGTCACGGCCGTTAGATGGTCTTCTAGGGACAGCCGAGCATCCAGAAGGACATCCAAGTTGCGAGCCCTATCAACGGGGGCAAGTTTTTCCCCATCCATCAAAAGTGATGGGGCCTCTGAAACCCGAGGTGCCGGCATCCACAGCCACTCAGTCTTGGAGAGATTGAGTTTGAGTCTGTTTCTGCCCATCCAGGCCCGTACCACCTCCAGGCAATGGGACCTCACGGAAAGGGCATCTCTGGGGTGGTCTGGGGTGGAGATGTATAATTGGGTATCATCAGCATATTGATGATATCTCACCCCAAAGCCACGAATGATCTCACCCAGTGGCTTCATATAGATGTTAAAGAGTAGGGGGGAGAGAACCGACTCCTGAGGCACCCCACAATTTAGGGGCCTTGGGGTGGATCTCTGCCTCCCGCCCATACAAACTGAAAGCGACCTGAGAGGTAGGAGGAGAACCACTGTAAGACAGTGCCTCCCACCCCCAACCCCACAAGTCGCTGCAGTAGGATACCATGGTCGATGGTATCAAAAGCCACTGAGAGGTCAAGTAGGACCAGGATGGATGAACAACCACCATCCAGAGCCCGCCAGAGATCATTCACCAGAGCGACCAATGCCGTTTCTGTGCTGTGTCCGTGTCGGAAGCCCGATTGGTACGGGTCAAGGTATTTATTTATTTATTTATATTTATTTATTAATTTAATTTGTATACCACCCTTCTCCCAGAAGGGATTCAGGGCAGTGAACAGCCGAAATTAAAAAACATACAAATACAAAAGTTAAGATAATTAAAAAGAATTAAATCACTAGCTTCCCAATTTAAAACCCCCAAATCCATAAAATTTAAAATCCCAATTTAAAAAAACCATTTAGGCTAGGCCGGCTTGATGGAATAAAAACATCTTCAGGGCTTTACGGAAGGTCCGGAGGTCCGGGATCAATCGTATTCCAGGAGGCAGCTCATTCCACAGGGTGGGTGCCCCCACAGAGAAGGCTCTCCCCCTGGGGGCCGCCAGCCGACATTGCCTGACCGACGGCACCCTGAGGAGGCCCTCTCTGTGAGAGCGTATTGGCCGGTGGGAGGTTATCGGTAGCAGCAGGCGGTCTCGCAAATACCCTGGTATTCCATTTCCTCCAGGAATTGTGGGAGCTGTTGCACCACTACAGTCTCAACAACCTTTGCGATGTAGCGAAGGTTGGAGACAGGACGATAGTTATTAAGTGAGTCTGGATCCAGGGAAGGCTTCTTGAGGAGAGGTCGAACCACCGCCTCCTTAAGAGAGGCGGGGAAGTTCCCCTCTCTCAACAAAGCATTGACAATTGCCTGGATCCAGTCTCTAGTCACCTCCCTGGCAGCCAAAACCAACCAGGAGGGACAAGGGTCCAATAAGCAAGTGGAGGAACTAAGTCTGCCCATAATCCTGTCCACTTCCTTGACAGAAACAGGGTCAAACTCAATCCAGATATTATTCTCAAGACCCACCCTAATCTCCCGATTGGATTCTGCCCAGTCAGAGTCCAATCCAATCCGGATCTGAGCGATTTTATCATGCAGAAACTGTACAAAATCCTCAGCTCTGCCCTGTAAAGGGTCTTCCCTCGCTCCCTGATTGAGGAGGGAGCGGGTCACACGAAACAGGGCCGCTGGGCGGTTTTCTGCAGATGCAATGAGGGCGGTGAAGTAATCTCGTTTCGTCGCTTTCATCGCCACTAGATAAGACCTAATATGGGTTTTTAACTGTGTTCGGTCAGATTCAGATCGGGAGGCCCTCCAACTCTCTTCTAGGCGTCTTTTCTGACGTTTCATTTCCCAGAGCTCCATGGAAAACCAAGGAACGATATGGGATCTGCGTCGGGTTAGAGGCCGCAAAGGTGCAATTCTGTCCAAGGTGTCGGTAACCACCGTTCCCAGGATGCCACCAGAGCCTCAGCTGAATCGCAGGATTGAGAGGTGGGGAATGTCCCAAGCTCCTTCAAGAACCTTTCTGGGTCCATCAGGCGCCTGGGACGGAACCATTTTATGGGTCCCAACTCCCAGCGGCAAGGGTTGGCAGATTGAAAGTCCAGTCTAAGGAGGGAATGGTCAGTCCATGACAGGGGAGTGATGGAAAGTTCCCCCTTACCATGACCATATATCCACTGCCCAGAGAGAAAAACCAGGTCGAGTGTGTGTCCTCCCCTATGAGTTGGGCCCTGAATAACCTGAGTCAGGTCCATGGCTGCCATGGAGGCCATGAACTCCCAGACTGTCTCAGATGATGCGCCAATCGAAGGCAGGTTAAAATCTCCCAGAACCAAAAGTCTGGGGAGTTTGAGTGCCACTTCAGTCAAGACATTGAGCAGTGCGGGCAGGGCTGTGGCAACATAGCTGGGAGATAGGTATGTGACCAACAAGCCCGACTGAACTCCAGGGTCCCACTTCAATAGAAGAGACTCACACCCGCCTATCTGAGCAACAGTGACCTCCTTAGGACTCAGACCTTCTCTAACAACCACTGCCACCCCCAGCCCCTTCCCTGGTGTTGCGGCTGGTGCAGGACACAAAAGCCTGGGGGGCATAAATCAGAGAGAGGGATTCCCCCCTCTTGCCCCAACCAGATCTCCATGATACAGGCCAGGTCCGCACCCTCCTCATCAATAAGATCTCATATGAGGAGGGCCTTATTCATCACGGACCTGGCATTCACATATACCAGACTGAGACCAGGGTCCCTCGCTCTCATATCCCCAGGAAAGCAGGGTGAGCAGGAGATATGGGAGCAAGCCACCATCCGAATGCATCTGGTGTGATGCTTCCCACCCCTACTTCTATTTCTTCTGCCCCCTCTCACCATCACAGGTATAGAATGCCCACCCTCCTCCGAGCATCCCCTACAACTCCCAACCCCCCCCAACCCACCGGGACTGTCAGAATGGCATGGCTGCTGATCCTTAAGAGACCCCCCAATCTCATTTTTGTTATTAAAAACCACCCTCCTCCTGGATCCCCTTAAAATTGGATCTAAAAATCTATTTAAAAAACCCCAGAGCCTCCATTTTTTAGCGTACCACCTCTTGGGGTTCCAAAACCCGTCATCAAGGGTGGCCCTCGATAGTTGAGAGGGCCAAACCTGCGAGGGGGGGGAATCTTGCAGTGCAAGGAGCTCCGCAGTTGAATACATTAAAGAATAGCAACAAGCTAAAAGTGATGAAGGATCATTTTCTACTAAAGGTGTTAGAGATGGTTAAAAACAGGTAGATTAAATAAGGGAGGAAAAGATGTTAAAGAGAAGACAATATGCTAAAAACATCAGAACATCGGGACATCATCGCCCTCTCACAATGATGGGAAGTCTTGTGATTATAATAAGGCTATTCAATGGTGAGAAAGTCTCAAAGGCCGCCCTTTCATGGTGACCAAACCAGAGTCATAAAGTCAAACTAGAGATGGTCCGTCCCACCATAGTCCAGGACTCTCGGTGTCTGTGCCTCCTCCCATCCTGACACCAGCGATAGCCGAGGTTTAGTTCAGAAAAAAAAAAACAAAAAAAACAAGGTGTAGTCAAAGGATGGAATAAATATTGAATAATCCGGGTAACCCAGGGAGGACAAGATGGTCAAATAATGGTCAAATAAGGCTGCAGATCAATCAAAAGCTGTAAATTTATGCTGAGTGGCCATATTAGGTCTAAGCCTAATAAGGGGGGAGGAACAGTTAAGGGGAAGACCAACTGTCATCCCCCAGCTAACAATCCTCAGTTCCTTTCCCATAACCTTGATCTTCAGGCCATTCAGCCCATTAAGTTGTTAAGCCCCCTCCCATGCTTCAGAAAAAAAGGGGAGTGTCCAGATCCCTCAAAAACTGAGGGATCCTAATGTTTGTAATGCTGCCCTCTTCTCCACCAACAACGGGGGTGTCTTTGCAGCCAAGCCTCCAGGTACTGCTGCCACTGCCTTCGCCACTACAGTCACCTCCGCCACCGTAGCCGTCTCCGCGCTGCTGCCCATGGCGCCCAAGCCTGCCTCCGAACTGCAGTTCTCTAGCTGTCCCGGCACTCCTGCCGGCACCATCGTTGTCGGCGGCGCCGCCACAGCAACCTCGCTGCCCACGGCGCCGGCTGCGCTAGCCCTGACGGCCACCTAGGCCCCGACAGTCAGGCCCCGATTGTGCTGTTCTCCGCGCTGTCCTCTAACCTCCTCCCCGACAGTCAGCTGTTCGGTCAGCTCCATCCACGGCTCTATCGAGCCGGCAACACCTTGGCTCGCTGGGAGGGGGTCAAAAGATGTTAACTGACCCCCGACACCCCTGAAAATGCCGAACATCGCCTCCCTAAGCTCGGGGTTCACTGCAGAGCTGCCATTTTGGTCCTTTGGTCATTTAATATCCAGCTTTGCTTAATGACTCATTTAAATTCTAGCAAAACAGCCATTAATAGTTATACTTTCCAGAACAGTCATTAATAAAACAAAATCTGATTTATTAACCAAAACTTTCTCAAGGTTGCATTCCTACACTCTTGCTAAATTCATTTGGAAGCTTCAGCTGGTGCAAAGTGCAGGAGCGAGAGCTCCTGCACTTTGGGGCCTCTAGGATGGTCCATATTATACTTCTGCTCCACAAACTGCATGGTTACCAATCCACTTCCAAATGCAATTCAGGGTGTTAATTATGACCTTGAAGCCATTAAATGGTATACAGTAGGTCCAGGCTACCTGATGAACTGTCTCATCTCATTAGGACAAGCCTGTCTTACTCATGCTGTCAGAGAGGGCCTACTTCGGATCCCATCAGTCAAAGAACTCTGACTATGAGGATCCAGAAAAAGAACCTTCTCTGCTGCAGCACCCGCCCTTTGGACATCTTCTCCTCGAAGGTTAGATCTGCCCCACTTTCCTATCCTTCTGCAAGAGCCTGTCTCTGGTGGTTAGCCTAGGGATCGGATCAGATGGGGAAATTTCATGCTGGAGGTGGCTGCTGGATTGATGGCAAACTCTCCCTTCCCCCCTTGCTCTCTACAACCCACCCGTCCATCCTTTTGTTATCATATTGATGTATTCTTGTTGCATTCTTTTTCATTGTTTATTTTATTGTCCTATTATCTTGCTTCTGTTCTGTTTACACTCTTTACATTTCTTCCTTTTTATTGTTGCAAGTTGCCTAGGGTAGCCCCATGGTGAGATAGGAGGCAAATAAATTTAACAAATTTATTTATTTAATATAATTTTATTTAATAAATAAAAACAAATAAAAATAAATAAAATTAAGTTGGCTTATTTATCAGTAGCCATGCTTATGAGGGGACTTGGCATATTTTTAAAAAAACCAATGGAAAGATAAGGAAACTTTTGGGAAAAAAATTAGAGCTAGTTTGGTGTCATGCCTAAGGTGCTAACAACCCAAAAGACTGAGTTCTAGTATACTTAGACAGAAAGCCATCTGGATAATTTTGGGCCAGTTCAACCCATTTCACATGACTGGGAAAATAGAAGACATGAACAGTATGTAAGTTGCCCTGAGCTGACCAGAAACAAAGACAGGAGAAAAATCTAATAAATACATTATGAATTCTTATGTATCATGTTTTATTTAGCAGTGACCAGAACTGAGAAATAAAGAGAAAATCTTCAAGATGCAGTAGGTCAGATACCAAATATGTATAACCCTAGCCATTAAAAGGGGGTGGTCTTTTTATACCTGTACTGTTTTTAGAGGAGCATAATAAAGTACTCAAATGAATGGAATATAAATAAAAGAAACTCTGGATTCATTAATTTGTTTTTGGAGTCTGATGCTGATAGCACATTATGCAACATCCTGATAGTATCCTACAACTGTTCTTGTAAATGATAAAAAATAAAACAAGAGTCTATTTAATTAGAAATAATATGACATATATTTCAGTGGTAAAGAATTTGCAACAATCTTGATAACATGATTTTCTGCAAATGAGCATGAGAATGAACTTTCAAAGAGCAAGAAAAGCATAAGAGCTGATATTTTAAATTCTTAGGAAAAAAGTAGCATGAAGTATGTATGTATGTATGTATGTACGTACGTATGTATGTATTTCTCCTCAGCCGGGTATTTTCCTACGTAAACCAGGATTTTCAAAATGCTGCCATAGCTCAGTGAAATCACAATTCACTAGTTCTAGGCTTTTCCAGACAGCAAGTAAGCAGTTTGCTGCCCTTTGGGAGAATAACATAAAGGGCCTATGATAAGAGAAGAAAACATATACTTGACTTCTACGGGGAGGAAACATATGATGAGCGTGTGGCTAACTGATGAGGACTAATTAGTCCGAAATAGATCTATATTAGTCTAAAATAAGCCTGCGCCCCAAAATAAGCCCTCCCCAAAAATATTTAAATGCAGAGCTGGAAATCAGGTAAGACGGCAAGAGAAGCCCCATCTTGCTCCATGCGCCCCAAAATAATAAGACCTCCCTGAAAATAAGGCCAACTGCTTATTTCAGGGTTCAAAAAAATATAAGACAGGATCTTATTTTCAGGGAAACACGGTATTAGGAACAAGTGAAAAGAAATCTTTATCTATTTATTACTAAAACTCTGATTCCTACAATCTTTAACTGGATAAAACAGTGCACCATAAGGCAAAATCTTTTGAAGCAAGATACCTTAAATAGACTATAAAATGTGTCCAAAATCCAGGATCCATGACTCCAGGGAACTGAAATTTGGCAAATTTTATAAAATATTTAATGGCATAAAAGTTATCATAAAGCAGTTTATGACATAGTACAAAATGTCATAAACTATCCCCTGTGCTGATGTTGACTATACTTCAACATGGACTATTTTCATGGCAGATACATCTCTGAATGAATTCCCACTTTTCCAGTGAAAGCAGGCTGTTAGAAGTTCTGTCATAGTTAAAGGCATCAAGGAATCTGGTAAAGAAATATCTCTGAAAAGATGACCCAAGGAGTGGTGGGTTGTCTAGTAATTGCCTACATTTAAGAGTTGCCCAATCCAGACATAGAATAATATCTTCCCCTGGCACATATAGGTAAATGACTAGAGTATGCACAGTCTGCAGATAAAAAATATGCTTTTTCAGAAGCAATATTCCTATACGATTTGCTGTGTAATGATTCCTACATACAGTACTTAGATGTACTTGTATGAGGGATGATGGAAGTATAAATTGGTATTTCCTATTGGCTCAGAATGTAGGAAGGGAAAATGTCTTTGGCTTTTCCTATCATATGATTGTTAGTTACACACTGAGATAAAAATATTTAGTCTTCTTGCTCTTGGAAATGACATTTTCAGATTGCCATAATAACACTGCATCCCAACCAATCTCAATATCTCCTGCCTGTACAGTTCAATATTCTGTCCCTGCAGGTTTATAACACCAGCTACTACCAAGGAGTGTTAAAAGCTGCTAACTTAGAAGAACTGAAAAAAGAGAATTAGTCAAATTCTCATAGAAGGAAAACTATCAAGGAATATTAATAATGGTGACTACATGTAACTGCTAGTAAGAGTTCTCATAATATCAAGAATCATCTGGCTAGAAGGGACCTCAGAGGTCTTCTAATCCAACCCCCTGCTCAAGGCAGGAGCCTTATACCATCCCAGTCAAATAGTTGCCCAATCTGTTTTGAAAATCTCTAGTGATAGTCCCAGGCGGCAAGCTATTCCACTGATTAATTGCTTACTGTCAGAAAATTTGTCCTTACTTCTAGGTTGGATAGCTCTTTAACCAGCTTCCACCCATGACTTCATGTCCTGTCCTCTAGTACCCTAGAGATATTAATTTCATCTTCTTTGTGACAACTCTCAAGTACTGGAAATAATCACTAATTCTTCTCTTCGATAGGCTAGACAACTGTTCATCATACAATTTAGCCTCCAGACCCTTTATTATCTTTGTTGCTCTTCTCTGCATACTTTCCAGGGTCTCAACATCTTTTTTGTAATGTGACCAGAACTGGATGCAATATTCCAAGTGTGGTCTCACTAGCGTGGTGTAAAGAGGTTCTATCACTTCTCGTCTTGATGCTATCCCTGTGTTGATACAGCCTAGGACTACATTGATTTTTTTTTTCTTGGCAGCTACAGCACACTGCTGGCTCATTCTTAAGGCCACCTACTGACTGATTCCTCTCAAGTTACTATATTGAGCCAGGTACCACCTATTCTATACCTATGCATTTGATTTTTCCTGCCTAGGTGCAGGACCTTACTTTTCTCATAATTGAACTGCATCTTGTTGAATAGGGTCCAATATTCAAATCTGTCAAGATCCTTCTGGAACTTGAGCCTGGTTGGTTATTACCCCAGCTTGGTGTTGATGAGTTCCCCTTTCCTTCCCTCCTCTAGATATTGAAGAGAACTAGGGCTGAGACTGAACCTTGAGGTAGCCCACTGCTTGTTTCCCTCCATGTAGATCAGTGGTGGGTTGCTACCGGTTCTCCCCAGTTCTTGCGAACTGGTAGTGGAAATTTTGAGTAGTTCGGAGAACCAGTAAATAGCACCTCTGCCTGGCCCCACCCCTAATGTATTCGCTGCCTCCCAACTCCCAGCTGATTGGCTAGAAGGAAAAAATCAGGGCTCACTTGACACAGAAGAGGGGGAAAAAACAAGACACCATCGCTTTAAATTGAGAAGCCAAGAAGCCTCCCAACTGATTGGCTAGAAGGAAAAAATCAGGGCTCGCTTTTCAGCCAGGAGATCCCTTGGCAAAGAAGAAGAAGGGGGGAAAAAAAGACTCTGTCGCTTTAAATTGACAAGCCAAGAAGCAGCTGCTAGAAGGAGGTTTTTGCTTGCAGAAGCGAAGTGACATTCAGCAGTTCGTTTCTGGGTCAGCTGAACAACAAACTGGATAAGAGGAGGGATTCTTATACGGTTCTATGTTTTTGAAGTTTTGGGGTTTGTGCAACATGGGTTTTGTGTTTCTAAAAAGGTTTGGGCGATTTCCATTGTGAAATATCCTGTCTTGAATGAGTTTTTTGCCTGCTTGTAAATGGAGGTGAACTTCCGGCTTCCACCTTCTATTATCTCTAAGCACCAGTAGCTGTTTTCTTTTTTTATTATTATTTATTGAAAAGTTTTACAAAAAACAAAAATTTTCTTTCCCCCCACCCCATATTCCCCCCACCCTTTCCCTCCTCTCATCCCACCCTCCCCCCAGACTTCCCAGAGCAAAATACAAGGTGTTTCATTTAACAATCATAAAATAGATTAACCTACTTATCCTCAGACTACTAACTCCCCCCCTGAAACCTTAACTCCACTATAGATGACATAATACTTCTAATACTTAACGTTCATTCATAAGCTATTTGATATTTTCTTGTCTGATACTTATTTTGAATATAGTCAATCCATCTTCTCCATTCCGATACGTATCTTTCTTTATATAGTCCTTCAGGTACGCAGAGATTTTTGCCATTTCTGCTAGGTTCGTTACTTTCAATATCCACTCTTCAATAGTAGGCAAAGAGTCCTTCTTCCAATATTGCTCTACCAACAGCCTAGCTGCTGATATTAAATTCAAAATCAATTTAGTCTCTGATACTGTACAGTCTGTAGTTATACCCAATAGGAACAATTGAGGAGTAAATTTCAACCTTCTTTTCAGAATATTCTGCATCACCCACCAAATTTTTATCCAAAATGCCTTGATTTTCTTACAGGTCCTCCATATATGATAATAGGTTGCATCATTACATTCACATCTCCAACATTTAGCTTGCAAATTAGAGTACATACATGATATTTTTTTAGGATCTAAGTGCCATCTATCTTTTAGGTTTTCTTTACTATTTTCTTTCAGGCCTCTCAATCTCAGAGCAAACTCCATGGACCTGTATTGTAACATTACCAATTCATCATCCACTTTCTCTGTTCTGGTCATAACATCTCCCATTTTGCTTTCCAAATTTAAATTGGCTTGATTAATTTCTTCAACTTTCCCATCAAGCTGGATAACAAGGTTTGACAATCCTGATACAGCATAAACAATATCCTCTCTTATCTCATTGTGTTTCTCTGCAACCACTTCCTTAATTGAACTTATATCCTCCTCAACTTTCTTTAATTTCCCTTCCACGAGTAATGTTAAGTTATTCATAGCTTCTTTCATTGCTGTTGCTTGATTATTCATGGTTTCTTTCATAAATTCTTTAAAATCATTAAGTGCTGCATCTTGACTCTGACTCTGACTCTGTGAATCTGCTGGAAGTTTTGCTTTCTGTGTCATCACTGACACAACTGGAGAATCTCCCCCTCCTTTAACAACTCCTGGTTTCACTTGTCTAGAAGCCATTTTTTTTGCCCCCTCTTTTAAAGAGATCTTCTTCTTCTTCTTTTTTTTCCCAAAGCCACAAAACCACAAAGTCTTTTAAACAACTTTAAAATGTTTGTAATTTATAGTCTCTAATTTATCAGGCAGGATAATTTTTTTTTCCACAAGCTCTCACTTCCCAGCAGTTAATAAGCAGCTAATCCACTCTCCCAGCGCAAAGTTCTCCAGCACTTTCGTTTCTGGCTTTCACTTTCAAAACCATAACAAAGACCCCATCTTCAGCCTCCAACTCAATGAGATTCAGTTTGAAACAAAGTAACTTTGGAGTTAAGCTCTGTACTTTTAAAGCTTGTTCTCCTGTTTTCCGCTCTGCCTGCGCTTGTAATCAGTCAAACTCACTTTTAAAAGCAGGATCGGATCGCGGCTTCTCGCTCTGCTTTCGCAGAGTCGTCCTGGCTTCGGAGCTTCTTGGTGGGCTGGCTGGGGAGCTCTCACCCTCCAAGCCTCTGGAAATGTTCCAGAGGGCTTTCGGGGAGCTCTACTCTCGCCCACCAGCTCTCCTCTCCTTCTTTTCCTGAAGGAGAGGTTTTTCAGCCGCCAGACAGCTGGTTTGCACTGTCAAAGCAGCTTTTACGAAGAGGCAGGGCTGGCGGTCTTAGAAGACCATCCACGGAGCCTGTGGTGCTGACCGGAAGTCCGGTAGTTGTTTTCTTCTTACCAAGTTTCCTGTATGCAGCTGGCAGGAATGGAATGAGTATCAGGCAGGTTTCTTGTTAGCAGCTTGATTTTTCCTTGCTTTTTTGGGAGTACTATTTTCTTATGAGTAATATTTTATTTGGGGAAATGAAGAGGGGGGAGTTTGATTCCTTCCCAGAGCAGGTTAGTGGGGTGAGGAGGGAATGGGGATTTTGAAGTAACCTTCCCCTGGAGTGGGGAGGGAATGGGGATTTTGCAGTATCCTTCCCCTGTCACGCCCATCAAACAATGTCACGCCCACCAAGCCACACCCACAGAACCGGTAGTAAGAAATTTTGAAACCCACCACTGATGTAGATGTAGTTTCACCAAGGACTACTCACTTGAGTGTGGTTGGTCAATCAATTGCAAATCCATCTGGTGGTGATACTCTCTATCCCACATTGTTCTATCTTACTCAGAAGGAGATTGTGATCTACTTTGTCAAATGCCTTACTGAAGTCCAAGTATACTATGTCTCCAACATGTCACTGATCCACTAATTTAGTTGCTTAATCAAAAAAGGCAATAAGTTGTGTCTGACATGATCTGTTTTTATCAAACTCTGGTTTCTAGTAATCACCCTGTTTGTTTCTAGGTGTTCACAAATTCTCCACTTGATTATCTTTTCCAGGATTTTCCCAGGTACTGATGTCAAGCTGATTGGCCTATAACTTCC